GCCTAATGCGCTGGGAAATGGGGGGTGATGTGTGGGTCCCTACTTCCCTGTCATCGGGCTTGTATGGGTGTCCTTAGCTGGGACCCAGCAGATCCCTGCTGTCATGAGGACAAAGTTGTCCCTCTGCTCCCACATCAGCCGTTCCAGCTCTCCCTGATTCTGTCTGTCTTTCAGCTGACGCCGGGTGGGAAGGCAGCACAGGCTGGTGTGGGAGTGGGAGACTGGGTGCTGTACATCGATGGGGAGAGCACCAGCTCCATGACACACATCGAGGCCCAGAACAGGATCCGTGCCTGCGGGGACAGGCTCAGCCTCACCCTGAGCAGGTAGGATTTGTGGGTCCTGGTGTGGCTGGGGCGCAACGTGGTGCCATCTTCCAGCATCACTGCTCCTTGCTTGGAGCCTGGCAGCCCCTGGATGGGTCCAAGGACTCTGCTTGGCTGGATGAGGCTTGGCCTGGCTGCCGGCCCTCTCTTGTGAGCTGCGGGGCAGTGCCAGGTGGCCATGACTCCCCTTGTGTTTTGGGGGGTATCAGTGTCCTGGTGGTGGGTGGGCAAGTTCCATCACCTGCCCGCCTGTTTCCTCTCTTGCAGAGCCCAGAACCACATGGGGAAGCCGCAGAAGGTACGTGTCGCTCCTGGTGCTACAGAGGTGCCTCAGCCTGGTTTCAGGGGAGGACAATCATCTCTGAGTGTAGATGGATAAATGGACTTTGCTCCTGGGGCCTGCAGGCTTTGGGGGCAACCGGGGTGTATTTGGAGGGCTGGAAAACTCCCCGCTGGAGGAGCAGCTCTGACTGCTGTACTGCAGGGGATTGGAAGGAGCAGGGTCTGCCCAGGGTCTGTCCAGCAGGCGCCCAGACCATGGCTGCTGCCTTCCTGCACCCCTGCCAGTGCTGGGTGCGGGCAGGGGTGCAAAGGCCAATGCAAGGGAGGAGGCCAGGCAGCTGCTTATGGCCTCAGGGCCCCATGTTTGCCAGTGCTGGGCAGTGCCCTGGCATGGGGAGCAGGGCTGGGGCTGGTGACAGGTGACTCCTGGATGTAAGCCACCTGCATGCATTCGGCTTTGTGCTGCGGGGCAGTTGGGATCAGTGTGTGTGCATGCACTGCCCCGCTGCGTGCAGCAGCAAGTGTCTGGGCACTTACTAATTCTCCAGCAGCTCTCGGGCTGGGCTTGTGACCTGCAGAGCGAGGTGCCAGCCTGGCAGAACCCGGTATCCTGCAGTGCACATGCTGTCCGGCTTTCCTGCCCGCTGCGCTGCCTGGCCCCTTGCATGCTGCTTGACATGTGAGCCTGTGTCTGTGTGTTTTGTCTCGCTCAGGACTCACTCCCCTGCTCTGAACCCCTGAAATATAACTTCGCTCCCAGCACCGCCCTCAACAAAACAGCCCGGCCCTTTGGGGCCGGCTCACCTCCGAACCCACGGCCCGGGCTGGTGACGAAACCCGTGACGTACGCGCCCCTGGCGCCCGCCTGCACCCCCCAGCACAATGGGTACGTTGCTGTCTGTCCTGCTCCCCAAGGATCGGGGGGACCCCACTGCCCAGCCCTGCTGCGCCTTGCATGCCAGGCCCAGGGATGGGAGTGGGTGACAGTGCCCATGCTGGGGTCCCCCAGTGGCTGGTGCTGAGGTGGCACAACAGGACTGTCATGCACGGGGACGCACAGCCATGCACATGCTGGTCCCTTGCTCAGGGACATGTCAAGCCTGTGGGGAGTCCTGCAGGACATGGCATGGTGGTTGCAGCAGGACATTCACTGGCATCTGTGGCAGCAGGGAAGCAGCAGCTGCGTTGTGGCCACCAGCCAGTGCCTGCCTCAGGATGTCCTGCTGGTCCCATGGCTGCCAGGACAGGCTGGGCACAGTGAAGCCCTCACACCCCACACAGCACCATCCCCACCCTGCTTGCAGGGAAGAAGCTCCTGGCTCTCCAGGCTGCCCACCCGAGTGTCCAGCAGCTGCCGCTCCCTGCCCCTCCTGCTGGGAGCTGCTGTGGTGCCCTGAACAGGGCAATAGGGGGATGCAGCCCTGGCTGCCCTGGGCACCCAGGCCTGTTTTGGGGGACTGAGGGAGGCATGGTCTGGTCTGCTGGTGTCTGCCCCTGTGCCCCACTGTGCTCCCAGCCCTAGCAAACTGGGCATGAGTCTCGGGGTACAGGGACTAATGCAGGCCATAGGTGAGCTCTGGAAACTTCTTGGGTGCTGCGGGTCTAATTTCTCTTTCCTTTTTCTTTCTTTCTCTCCTCCCTTTCGCTTTCCCTCTCCCCTACAGGTGCTGAGCCTTGACAAGTCAGTAAGCCTTTTGCCTGCTCTTTCTATCCTCCCTGCATGCCTCTTCCCTGCTATTTACAGCCCAGGGACAGGCAGCATGTGCTGCTCTGCCCATTAGGTGGGTCACTCCTGGCAGCATGCTGCCCCTAGCCTGAAGGGCAAGCACTGCTTGTCTCTGCTGGGGCCCTGGAGTGTCCTCACGCATGGTCCCTTTCCTCCTCCCAAGACATATCTTAGTTGGGCAAGGGCTGTCAGGCTGTGCTGGGTACCATGCCCAGGGCCAAGCAGGCATCACTGCCATGGACTCCATAGGTGTTCATTGGACTCTCATGTAGCTGCCCTGCCAGTGGTTTATTTATCTTGGCTTATTCTCGCCCTGTCTTTTCCACTGCTGGCCTTTGGGACCAGTACTACAATGCCAGGTATGGTGGTCAGTCCTTAATGCGTCCTCCTGACATGGAGGAGGAGTAGGGGGTGCGGGTAGTAGGCAGTGTGTGGTGTCTTGGGTACGAATGTGCTGTGGTTCTGTCCTGGGGCAGCCCCAGGGAGGTGATGCCATGGAGATCTGTCAGATTTGACAGACCACTCTGTCACTCGCAGGCAGCCCCCGGAGCCCCCCAGCACCCCTGTATATGACCCCATGAAGTTACGGCTGATAGAGGATGCTGAGAGCTGGCAGCCCCGCTCTGGGACTTCCCAGTCCCGCTCCTTCCTCAAACTGGCCCGGCTGACGGGCACAGATGGATGTAAGTTCCCTCAGGGGCTGGTGCTGGCGGCCTGGGGGTGCTCAGCTTTGCCAGGGCCACTGCAGCCACATAGATGACATGGTGCAGTTGTGGCACCGAGTGTTGGTTTTGGCCCCATGTGGCCGCTCTGAGCCGGTGGGAGCTGCCTGGGACTCTGTGTGCTCGCGGTGGTGCTGCTGGGCTGGGGCCATGCTCTGCCCGGTGCCCGGGCAGGGCTGTTTGTTGGGGGCAGGAGGGCGGAGGGAGGAGAGAACGGTTTTCCTGCCTTTCCTTTTGCTTCCTGCTGTGCCTGGTCCTCGGTGGACACAGACTGACTCTGTCTCCTCCTTTCTCTCCGGCTGTGCTCAGTGGAGGATCATGAGGATGAGCTTGTTAAAGAGCCCAGGTAAGGGGAGAGTGCACCAGGGCAGCAGCAGGAGCCACGACGGTGCACACTCAGGGCTGAGCCCACCTAGCTGGTTTGCACTCACTGCTTGCAGTGACTCTGGGGAAGCTCTTTGCCCTGTTGTTTCTTCTCTCCTGTCCTTTGGCTCCATCCTCGCATTCCGTCTCTGTCCTCTTGCTCTCCCTAAGCTGAGCTCTTGATGGAGCTGCAGAGCCCAACCTGCACTCGCCACGCGATGGCACGATGGGCACCTCCAGCGTTCAGCCACCGATCTGACAACCACGTCGG